GGGTGTGGTGGCACATACCTATACTTCCAGCTACTTGGAAGTCTGAAGCAGAAGGATCACCTGAGCCCAGCAGGCCAAGGCTGTGGTGGCCATGAGTATGCTACTGCACTCCAGCCTAGGTGACAGAGTGAGACTCCAACTCAAAAAAAAAAAAAAGAAATAACAAGGTTGTTCAGAGTGGATAAGGGTGTTTCAGATAGTGAACATTTTGTGCTTTAAACCTTTAGGGCTTAAATAAATTTGGTTGACATTTTAAAGATTGAAAACAATTTAGAGGGCCTAAAGCAGTTTCACTGATGAAGATTCCATTCAGCTCTTATGACACTTTTGAGTGGATCTAACCAACCAAAAGTAAGTAACCTGGGAAAGCTAACTTAATATTGTCAGAGAATAGCCTTTCCTGTGGAATAAAGTGTGTGGGCTTTGCAACAGCTGTTTTGGCTGTTTTCTGTCTTTGTGGCTTTCAACCTTTAAAAAAGCAACCCATAATCAGAAATGTTTTACATCATGACCCAGTGCATAATTATGTGCATATAAAACACATATATAGATAATATAATTGATGCTGCTTGTGATAAACCCCCATTAGTTACTTTTGCTGCCACATTTTGCGGAACTAGTTCGTATAATTGAAGAACTAGTTCATATAAAATTCTAAGACCTGTTTTGCCATGAACACGGTTGGGGTGACTGGGTGGCAAGATAAAGACATCTCTTATCAGTGTAATATACTCTTCACAACAGCTGTTTTGTCTCTGTTTCCCTTAAGACTTCACGTTTTTTCTCTTTAATAGGTAACCTCATAGGAAGGCCCTAAGGCAAGCATAAAACTTTTCATTTTTCTTCCTTTCTGACCCCTGGATATCTGTAGTACATTCAATCTGTTTTTTTTCCCCTCTGCACAAGAGAAGATGTTTTTTTCTTTTTCATGGTTAGGCTTTCTACTACCTTTATTTTCTTTCCACTTCAGTCTGATTTCTAAGTTATTCTGCTTCTAATATTTTTGGTCTTTCTGCTAGCGCCTTTTCATCTCCTTGCAAACAAATTCATTTTCTTCCCTACTTTAAAGCCCTTCATTTATACTGTTTTTCCCACCTAGTTGCCATCTTTTTAACTTTTAAACTCCGTGTTCAAAATTGTCTTATTTATTATAATTGTACTTTGTTACCCTACTCTTTAATCCTTTGTATCTTTTTTCTTTTCTTCTTTTTTTGAATTGTAGATTCATTCTGCTGCCCAGGCTGGAGTGTAGTGGGAAGACCCTAGCTACCCCAGCCTCGAAGATCTCCTGGGCGCAGGTGATCCTTCTGCCCCAGCTTAGCTGGGACTACAGGTGCGTGCCACCATGCCTGGCTAATTTTTTGATTTATTGTAGAGAGGAGGTCTTGCCATGTTGCCCAGGCTGATCTCGAGCTCCTGGGTCAGGCAGTCCTCCTCACCATGGCTTCCCAAAGTACTGGGGATTTAGGCGTTGAGCCACTGTGCTCAGCCTTTGCAGTCTTCTTAAGAAATTTTTTTTTTTTTGTGGTTGTGGTTGTTGCTTTTTTCAAAAGTTGTTTTTTTGTTTTTTTGGTTTTTTTTGAGTCAGAGTCTCACTCTGTCGCCCAGACTGGAGTGCAGTGGCCACTCCCGGCCACCGCAGCCTCAACCTGCTGGGTTCCGGCGATCCTTCTGCCTCAGCCTTCCAAGTAGCTGGAACTACAGGCATGTGCTACCACACCCGGCTAATTTTGGATTTATTGTAGAGATTAGGTCTCGCCAAGTTGCCCAGGTGGGTCTCAAACCCATGGGCTCAAGCAGTCCACTCACCTCAGCCTCCCAAAGCACGGAAATACTGGCTGAGCTTTTTAGAGATAGGATCTCACTATTTTTCCCAGGCTGGTCTTGAACTTCTGGCCTGGAGCAATTATCCCACCTTGGCCTCCCAAAGTGCTGGGATTACAGGTGTGAACTATGGCACCCAACCTGTGGTCTTTTCTATTACTTTTACCAAAGTTGTTTTATCAAGGTCACTGACTTTATATTTTTGAGTCCTGTGGCCTTTCCTAAGTATTGAGAACTTAATCTGCCTCCCTCCCCATCTTGCTTTTATACAAACAGACCGTCACTTTTTCTTAAACACAAGCTGGCTGGGCATGGTGACTCAGCCTGTAATCCCAGCACTTTGGGAGACTGAGGTGAGTAGATTGCCTGAGCCCGCAGGTTCGAGACCCACCTGGTCAACATGGTGAGACCTCATCTCTACAATAAATCAGAAAAATTGTCCGCGCGCGGTAGTGCGTGCCTTTAGTTCCTGCTACTTGGAAGGCTGAGGTGGAAGGATCGCTGGAGCCCAGCAGGTCAAGGCTGTGGTGGCCAGGGGAGCATGTCGCTGCACTCCAGTCTGGGCAACAGAGTGAGACTCCAATTCAAAAAAAAAGAAGACAAGTAAGCTTAGTCTATAAATACTTGCTTTTTGCTCATGTCATTTCATGACAATATTTACTACTGATATTTTTCTTGGTAGATGTTTTCCTTCTGCTTCTAAAATGGTGAGCTCCGTGGTATTCTTGAACACTTTGTTTTCTATTACATAGACAAGTGCTTAGCATAACAAGATAATAAATGTGTATTTGTTCAATGAATGAAAACCATCTAATGAGCTGAGAATTACATTTCTCACTGATCTGAAACCGCCACAATCATATGACTCTGCTCTAATGGTGTGTACATTGAACAATAAAGTAATCGGATGTTCACATTACTGTTGTAATAAATAAAAGAGATTAATGTATGCCAAAGTAGAATGATTGCTTGAGTCCAGGATTTTGAGGTCAGCCTGGGCAACATAGTGAGATCTCGTCTCTACAAAACATTAAAAAAAATTAGCCAGGCATGGTAGTGTGAGTCTGTAGTCTCAGCTGCTTGGAAGGCTGATGTGGAAGGGCTGCTTCTGAGCCAAAAAGGAGTTTGAGACTGCAGTGAATCATGATTGTACCACTGTACTCAGGCTGGGCGACAGAGTGAAACCTAGACTCCTAAGGGGGGAGGGAAGAGAGAGAGGGAGAAACTAATATGATAGAGAGGGACCTAGTAGCTAGTTTGTTAAGTAAAATCTTTCTAGAAGTAACATTTAAGCTGAGTACTTAATGACGATTAGAAGACAAAGGGAGAAAGATATTTTGAACAGAGGAAACATTGATAGTACTAAGGCCCACAAGATAGGATTTAGTCATTTTTGTCCTTTAGGGTGACTTAATCTCTTTTTTTTTTTTTGAGTTGGAGTCTCACTCTGTCACCCAGACTGGAATGCAGTGGCTACTCCTGGCCACCGCAGCCTTGACCCGCTGGGCTACGGCAGTCCTTTCGCCTCAGCCTTCCAAGTAGCTGGAACTACTGGCGCGCGCTACCACGCTCGGCTAATTTTTGATTTATTGTAGAGATGAGGTCTCGCCAAGTTGCCCAGGCGGGTCTCGAACCCGCGGACTCAGGCAATCCACTCACCTCGGCCTCCCAAAGTGCTGGGATTATAGGCTGAGCCACCGAGCCCAGCCGACTTAATCTCTTATTTTATTTTATTTTTTGAGTTGGAATCTCACTCTGTCACCCAGACTAGAGTGCAGTGGCTGCTCCTGGCCACCTCAGACTTCCAAGTAGCTGGAACTACAGGTGTGCGCTACCACGCCCGGATAAATTTTTGATTTATTGTAGAGATGAGGTCTCGCCAAGTTGCCCAGGAGGGGCTCGAACCTGCTGGCTCAGGCAGTCCACTCACCTCAGCCTCCGAAAGCACTGGATTACAGGCTGAGCCACCGAGCCTGGCTTAATCTCTTATTTTAGTTAATGTATACAACTCATTGTGTTGCTCTTTTGAAGATTCTTTAAGAGCAACTCCTAATTAAATGGCAGTGATCTGAAACTGCGCTAATACAGCAGTTACTAGCCACATGTGGCTATTAGAATAAAATAAAATAGAATCATTTTCTCAGTTGCACTAGCTATATTTCAAGTGGCTAGTAACTACATTATTGGACAGCACAAATGTAGAACAGTCTCTAATGTTGCAGAAAGTTCTCTTGGGCATTGCTGCTCTGAAAAGTCACTAGAATATACTTTTTTTTTTTTTGAGTCGCAGTCTCATTCTGTTGCCCAGGCTGGAGTGCAGTGGCACACTCATGGCCACCACAGCCTTGACCTGCTGGGCTCAGGCGATGCTTCCACCTCAGCCTTCCAAGTAGCTGGAACTATAGGCATGCACCACACCCAGTTATTTTTTTAATTCGTTGTAGAGATGAGATCTCACCAAGTCACCCAGGCTGGTCTGGAACCCCTGAATACAGGCAATCTTCTTGCCTCTGCCTTCCAAAGTGGTGGGATTACAGATGTGAGCTACTGTACCCGGCTGGAATATATATTCCTTGAGATTTTGTTCACTGCTGTGTTCTTAGTGTTTGACATATAAGTGCTGAAATAAGTATTTGTTAAATGATGAAATTAGTAATAAATGGATGGGTGAATGGAAGCAGCACATTTGTTCCCAGATGGGGAACAATAAAATGTGCATAACTTTGAGATACGAAAAAGTTTGACCAGTGACCAGCCTGGGCAACAGAGTGAGACTCCAACTCAAAAAAAAAAAAAGAGTCTGATGTGTTGAGGAACTTAAAGAAGTTTGGGTGGAAGAGAGAAGAATAATATTTTCAGATCAACATAGAGAAATTGGCAGTTAACCTTCGGAATTTTTTTGTACATGATGGAAAAGTTTGTAGCATAGCAGTAATATGATCTGATGTGGATGCCTTGTTAGCCAATTATTTATTTTACTAGCTCTCTTGAGTGTTTAATAAGGTGGTCGTAGGTATGGCAATTTATTAATATTTGAGTAACTGCTTGCAGAGAATCCCAATTTTTCGTTTACTTTATTTTTTGTGTTAGTAGAAGGGTCTTTGTTTTATATGTATTCTAATGATTGTATACTTATAAGCAGGAACTTATAGGCAAACCTGTTTTTGTTTTTCCAGTGAAGGTGGTGTTTTTAAGGCTCATCTCACTTTCCCAAAAGATTATCCCCTTCGGCCTCCTAAAATGAAGTTCATTACAGAAATCTGGCACCCAAATGGTAAGTTTATCTAGTTTTATTTTTATATTTGCACATATGTTGGCCTCTCACTGATATTTTCAAATTCAATAAGGATGCCATTCTCAATGAAGTTGTTTTGGAATTTTTGTTCTAAGTTCATTGTTTCCTTGGTGCACATGGCCTTATTTGTACTAGATTCTTTAAAAGAGAAGCAGTAACAGATCATATATAAAAAGCTATTTATTAATTTTCAGCTCTTTTTGAGATTCACAGTATTCCAAACTAGAGACAAGATTACTGAGTCAGCATCAGCAGAATTCCTGTGATTGAGGATATAATTTCTAAGGTATCAGGTGACTCACTTGCTATAAGGAAGAGCATAGAAATTATTAAATGGATTTTCAAATTTATATTTTCTCATCTTAGTTTTTTATACCATAGGTGACTCTTAACTTTTATCTATATTCTATGGTGTCAGATGACTCACAGGATCAAATGATAGCATACTGTATTGGAAAGCATCCATTATTCTTGTGCATGAAATGATGACACTGATTTTTTTTTTTTTTTACTTGAAGAGCTATTCTTTAAAATCTACTTCGTGAGCCAAATGTTAGACTATGAGCTATGTTTATACATAGTCTCCCTGAAGTTTTGACCTTGTTTTGTGTGATACAGCGTGCTAAGATTTCTTTTCTAAATATTTTGACAATGTGTCATCAGAGTTGTTTTTGTAGCCTACTATACTAATTTGCATTTTTCTTCTCATTGTCAAGACTTGGTTATAAGGAATAAAAACACATGTGAGGGGGGATCCCCCCCCCAAAAATCCCCAGGATTTATTCATAAAATTGTGCATTTATTCTTACATAGTTAAGCTTCAGTGAACTTCAAAGTACTCCCTGTTTGAAAACATACCCCTTGAGATGCTTTTTCCACTTCCCAAAATAGTTCTTGAACTTGTTAATTTTGATGTCTTTTAGTGCTTCTGCCCCTTTTTTGGTTTGTTTGTTTGCTTGTTTTTGTTTCACCTCTTCTACATTGACAATATGTTTTCCTTTGAGGACTTTTTTTATCTGGGGAAACCAGAAAAAGTCACTCAGGGTTAGATCAGGTGTATAAGGAGGGTGGGGTACTGGGGTCATGCTGTTTTTGGTCAAAAAGTGCTAAACACTCAGTGCAGCATAGGCAGGTACACTTGTAACTCACCCATCATGAATGGGCAAAGGTATTGAAAGAATCTCTAAAAAAGTTCACTGAAACCACAGCGCTAGCTGGTATGCTGATGTGGATGGGTTCCTAGAACACTTACCTAACCAGGGGCAGCCTGTACTGCAAAGGGCCCGCTCTCCAAAAAATAATTGTGGTTTCTGGGGGTGGGGTATCCTCATATATATTAATTTAAACAAAAATCAGTGAGAGAATAATTAATGAGTAGGTTAAATAAATATCACAATGACAACTGTCTTAAAAAAAAGATGAGCATTATGAAGGACTGGAACTGGCAAATGGAAAACTACTGGGAAGAAAGGGTGCTACCGTATTTTATTGCATCTATATAGCATTGATCATAAAAGATAAATAGTTATTTTTCAAGCCAGGTGCAGTTGTTCATGCCTATAATCCCAGCACTTTGGAAGGCAGAAGCAAGAGGATTGCCTGATTTGAGGGGTTCGAGACCAGCCTGGGCAACTTGGCAAAACCTTGTCACTACAATAAATAAAAAAATTAGCTGGGTGTGGTGACAAGCGCCTGTAGTTCCAGCTACTTGGAAGGTTGAGGTGGAAAGATCACCTGAGCCCAGCAAGTCGAGGCTGCACTCAAACCTGGGCAACAGAGTGAGACTTCAACAACAACAACAACAATAAAGCAAAACAAAACAAAAAGATGCATAGTTATTTTTCATACTGATAAGGGGAACAATATCTCTAATGATTAATGGTGGTAGAATGCATTAACAATAGTCTTATTTGATGCTTAGATTCACGAATTTGTGACATGTGCCTCTTACTACTTTGTCATTTCTTTCATCTCTTTCTAGGCATTTGTCAGTTTCTCCTGCTTTCACTTGCATTCCTTGATGTATAATAAGCAATCTTCTTGTACCCTTTTTTTTTTTTGAGTCAGAGTGGAGTGCAGTGGCTCGCTCACGGGCACTGCAGCCTTGACTCGATGGGCTCAGGTGATACTTCTACTTCAGCCTTCCAAGTAGCTGGAACTACAGGCCGAGCTAATTTTTTAAACTTTTTTGTAGAGACACGGTCTCGCTATGTTGCCCAGGCTGATCTCAAACCTGTGGGCTCAGGCAGTCCTCTTGCCTCAGCCTCCCAAAATGCTGGGATTACAGGTATGAGCCATCACACCCAGCTTTGTATCTATTTTTAAAGAAGATAGAACAAAGCTTCTGAATGTTGGTTTCACCACAAATTGGTGTGTAACTCTAGGCAAAGCCTCTTTGAACCTTACGTTTTCTGTCTGTGAATGCAAGCTAATGCCTGGGACTTCCCGTCTGGTAAGAAGGAAGGCAGCAATTTTCTAGTTAGTTTAAGAGGACAACTGATGAAATGGAATTTTTTTTAAGGTTGAAGAGACTTTATTTTGTACGTCATAAAGGAAAAGCAGTAGGGAAATAATCAAGACTTGATTTGAGAGAGGATAATTTGTGAAAAAAGGATACCTGGGGAAATGATTGGGAAGGATGGTAGCTATAGAGAAGAGAGTTAGATGTAGGAAAGAGTGAAAAGTCATTCTGAAATGGGAAAGGAATACAAATCTGGGTAGGTGAGCATCTTAGTATTTAGTAGGCACTTGAGATACAAAATCAGTTATGGGCCCTGTCTATAAGAATATAATTGTTTATATGTGGAGAGTTGGGCATGTGAACAAAATGGTGAGGTATCAAGGGATTTTGGTAGCACAGGAGGAAGGGAATTAAGGAATGGTTATTAGAGAATATGATTCTTTTTTTTTTAAGTTGGAGTCTCACTCTGTCGCCCAGACCGAAGTGCAGTAGCACACTCCCGGCCATCGCAGCCTCAACCTGCTGGGCTCTGGTGATCCTTGCGCCTCAGCCTTCTAAGTAGCTGGAACTACAGGCGTGCTCTACCACGCCCAGTTGATTTTTTTATTTGTTGTAGAGATAAGGTTTCGCCAAGTTGCCCAGGTGGGTCTCGAACCCTCAAGCTCAGGCAATCCACTCACCTCAGCTCCCACAGCACGGGATTATAGGCTGAGCCGTTGAGCCCAGTTGAGAATATGATTCTTGAATAGCATTTTGAATGATGAATATACATGTCTTGAACTTTGTTCTTTAGACTGTGAGGATTCATTGAATAATGATTTTTAAAGCTGTTCATAATGGTATATTGTCCTGACAAAAAAGAAAACAACAAAAAGCTGTATAGTAGGTTTATGTTGGTTATATTTTCTTCTAGCAATATTACACTTGTAGAAGAGTAGAAACCAGCCAGTTGGCAAAGAGATAGATAGAGAATTTCTTTTTTTTTTTTTTTTTTTTTTTTTTTTTTTTTTATTTATTGTAGAGGTGAGGTCTCGTCAAATTGCCCAGGCGGTCTCGAACCCACGGGCTCAGGCAATCCACTCACCTCAGCCTTCCAAAGTGCTGGGATTACAGGCTAAGCCACCGAGCCCGGCCAGAGAATTTCATCAATGATCTGGGTGAGAAAAAAATGAATGCTTGACTAACAATAGTGGCAGGAAGGATAACATAATTACTCTCACTTGTTGACTGCCAGATGTGGGTGGTAATGGAGAAATAAAAATTTAGAATTGATTGACCATTTATAAAAATAATTATAAAATCAAAACCATAATGGGAAACCACTTTATGCCCACTAGAATGTCTATAATAAAGATAGTTAATAGCAAGTGTTGACAAGGAAATACAGAAATTAGAGCTCTTAAACACTTCTGACAATGAACAAGGAATGGTGCAGATGTTTGGAAAAGTCTGGCAGTTTCTCAAAAGGTTAAATATAGTTACCATATGACCCAGCAATTCCACTTCTAGGTACCTAGCCAAGAAAATTAAAAACATGTGTCCACAAAAAATTTATACAATAATGTTCATAGCAGTATTCGTTATGTCTTTTATTTATTTATTTGCTTGCTTACTTACTGTTTTGAGTTGGGATCTCCCTTTGTCACCCTGATTGGAGTGTAGTAACACAGTCATAGCTCACAACAGCCTTCACTTTCTTGGCTCATGTGGTCCTTCCACTTCAGCCTCCCAAGTAATTGTGCCTACAGGTGTATGCCACCATACCTGGCTAACTTTGTTACTTTTGTAGAGAGGAGGTCTTGCAGTGTTGCCTAGGCTGGTGTCGAACTCCTGGGGTCAAGAAGTCCTTTTGCTTTGGCCTCCGAAATACTGGAATTACAGGTGTGAGCCACTGCACCTGGCCCATTGCAGTATTCATTATTCATAAGAGACAAAAAAAAGTAGCAGAAAACAAATATCTATCAATTGATGAATGGGAAAAAATAAAATGTGGATTCATATAATGAAATTTTCATATTTTTTGGTAATAAAAAGAAATGAAGTAGAGATATATTCTACAACATGGATGAATTTTAGAAACATGCCAAGTAAAGAAAGCCAGTTGCAAAAGGTCACATAATGTATCATTTCATTTATATGAAATGTCCAGAATAGGCAAATTCGTAGAGACAGAACATAGATTAGTGTTTAGCTAGGGCTGGAGTGGAGGTAGGGAGAGGAATAAGGAGCAAGTGCTAATGGGCACATGGTTTCTTTCTGGGATGAGGAAAACATTCTAAAGTAGATAAGGTGATGGTCTTACAGCTCTACAAACATACTGGATAGAAACCATTAAACTATATAATTGAAATAGGTGAATTGTATCACAGGTGAATTATATCTCAAAGTCACTGCAAAAATTATTATAAGGTAAATATTAGTTTTATATGGCCTTAAATACATTCAATTTTGGATTTATTTTTCTTGAGATATACTTGCTACATTCAGATAGATAATTACATAAAACTAGTACAGGATTTAGCAGTGAACTTAGGGCATTAGAAGTCACTGTTTCAAAATGATAGATAACATTGTTATATAATGAATTAGTTAATTTACCTAGGAAAAAGATTATTGATGTTAGAGATTAGGATAATATCAAAAGGGAAAAGGGGAAGGAGAAAGTGGGAGAATGGTTGAAGAACCAGGAAAAAACAAAGTATTACAGAAGCCAAGGGGGGAAAGTGTGTCCAGGAAGGTGTTGTCAACAGTATCAGTTGTCTTGGCCCAGATAGGTTGACTTCAGATAGATATCGATAGTACCCAGGAGAATATGTTATCCAGACTACTTGTGGGAACAGTCACAGTGTCCTGATCAAGAGCAGTAGCCAGTTTCCAGTGAGGTAAAGGGGTACTCATTCAAAGAACATTCAAATGGGGAAAAAAAGGAACAGGCAAAAATTATACAGGGGCAACTGAGAAGCATTTTAGCAAAGGAAAAGTTAGCTCTTTAAGTACATGACTGGCTAAAGGACAAGGACAGGCTTTTCACAAAAGAGGAAAGACATTATATTCATGGAAATTTTTCACCCCAAAAGCCACTTAAACCACTTAGAAAAGCCACTTAAACCAGATGTTGTATATGAAATTTAAACAGTATCAATAAAGAAAAAATCTTTATATACTGAGTAAGGAGACAGTGAAGTAGTCATCTCATACTGCTGATGGCTGTATAAATTGATAAAATTCTTTTAGGGTATAATTTGATAGTAGATGTTATGCCTAAAAACTTACTCATTCTAAAATAAATCGTATGTTTGAAATGGCATGAGGTTAAATATTTTAAGATCCTAGATTATTGATAAAAATACTTTTTTAAAAAGGAAAATGGATTGTATATTGATTCCTCTGATAGAATTCTTTACAAATATTTAATAATTTGTTTTCTAAGAAAAATGACTTGGGAAAAATCATTATTAAGTAACTGGGAAAAATCATTGGTAAGTAACTGTGTTGTATCGTAAGTTTTGATGCCATTCTTGCCTCTTGATCTAATGATTCTATTTTAGTTAATAGATTTTACTAGCAGGGTAGAGGTAGGTTGGGAAGAGGAAGCTTAATTATAGAAAGGCCATGTATAAAACATTGAAGGCATGGGCCTTGTATGTCATATTTACTGCTGTACCCCCATGTCGGGTGTGTGTTGGACACACTGTAGGCATTCAAAACATATTTATAAAGTTAAGGCAGTGGTAATATTGATTGGTATATACAAACATTGATTCTGATTACCCAGAGTTTATTTTTTTTTAATTTTTAATTTTTAATTTTTTTTTTTGAGTTGGAGTCTCACTCTGTCACTCAGACTGGAGTGCAGTGGCCGCTCCTGGCCACCGCAGCCTCGACCTGCTGGACGCCGGCGATCCCTCCGCTTCAGGCTTCCAAGTAGCTGGAACTACAGGCGCGCGCTACCACGCCCAGCTAATTTTTTATTTTATTGTAGAGATGAGGTCTCACCAAGTTTCCCAGGCGGGTCTTGAACCCATGGGCTCAGGCAATCCACTCACCTCAGCCTCCCCAAGTGCTGGGATTACAGGCTGAGCCACCGAGCCTGGCTACCCAGAGTTTATAATAACAACAGGGAAAAGACTGATGTTATGAGATGAAAAATAAGCTTTGGAGTTATACCTGTTCACAAATATGTTAGACTCTACAAAGGATAAATTAGGAATGAAATATATACAAACATTGCCACTGATTATTTATAGGATTTAAAATTTTGCTTGAAAAAAATTTCTATACCAAGAAATTTGAAACCTCTTCTAGAATTCCAGTTTTTGTTTTTTTTTTTTATCATTGGGAAAATTTTGCTATCAAAGATTTCTTTCAGTAATAGGGAGTGTTTATGTAATATATACTTGAATTCGTGGTTTAGACCTTCAGCTTTTTTTTTTCTTGGTTAGTAAGATTGTTTTACTTTTTGTGAATCACTGTAAAGTAAGACACAGTTATGCTAACACATGTTTTGAAAATAAATGTATTTTCTCATTATTACTCAAGTTGACTATTACTTGTGGCTTCAATTTTATTTATTTTTATTTTTTTTATTTTTTATTTTTTTTGAGTTGGAGTCTCACTCTGTTGCCCAGACTGGAGTGCAATGGCCGCTCCTGGCCACCGCAGCCTCGACCTGCTGGGCTCCGGCGATCCTTCCTCCTCAGCCTTCCGAGTAGCCGGAATTACAGGCATGCGCTACCACGCCCGGCTGATTTTTTGAGTTATTGTAGAGATGAGGTCTCGCTGCCCAGGCAGGTCTCGAACCCGCGGGCTCAGGCAATCCACTCACCTCAGCCTTCCAAAGGCGCGGGATTACAGGCTGAGCCACTGAGCCTGGCTTATTTTTATTTTTTTTTGAGTGGGAGTCTCACTCTGTCGTCCAGACTGGAGTGCAGTGGCGGTCCCTGCCACCACAGCCTTGACCTGCTGGGGCTCTGGCAATCCTTCCGCCTCAGCCTTCCAAGTAGCTGGAATTACAGGCGCATGCTACATGCCCGGCTAGTTTTTTGATTTATTGTAGAGATGAGGTCTCATCAAGTTGCCCAGGCGGATCTCGAACCCGTGGGCTCAGGCAATCCACTCACCTCAGCCTCCCAAGGTGTGGGATTACAGGCTGAGCCACCGAGCCCGATGTCTTTATGTGATTTTAAAAGTACCTTTTGATATTACTTTATTTTCTTTGGTGAGATCTCTATACCTTTTTTTTTGAGTTGGGATCTTACTTTGTCACCCAGGCTGAAGTTCGATGGCAGGATCTCACCTCATTGTGACCTTGACCTCCTGGCCTCAGGCAGTCCTTCCACCTCAGCCTCTGAGTAGGTGGTCCACGCCTGGCTTATTTTTTGGATTTTTGATAGATACCAAGTCTCACTATGTTGTCCAGGCTGGTCTGGAAATTCTGGACTGCAGTGATCCTCCTGCATTGGCCTCCCAAAGTGCTGGGATTACAGGTGTGAGCCACCGTACCTGGCCTCTACATCTTTGACTATCACCAATTTAAGTCAGTAAGTTAGTAGTTAGTGGGAAAACTTGGAAATCACTACATAGAAACTCAGTTTTTGGTATTTTGGAACATGCTTTAGGCAAATAAGGAATAGATCCAACAGTTGCCATTCATTCACTTACATTGTATTTACATGTAAATGCTAACCACCCATCTGCTTGCTAGATGTCTTACAGTTTGACATAAATAAAAAAGATAGTTTATATTCCTGCTGGGTTTTTCAGGTAGATTATGTGCATTTGGTAAAATCTGTAGTTTCCTAGAAAGTTAGCACATTCCATTTTGGAATTTTTGTTTATATGTTATGTTTTATACAGGTACTATGTGAGTCAGGATCACATTTGTAATAGATATTTTATGTATAACCAAATTCATAATATATTAAACAAGATTCTTCTCTAATTTTGCAGTTGATAAAAATGGTGATGTGTGCATTTCTATTCTTCATGAGCCTGGGGAAGATAAATATGGTTATGAAAAGCCAGAGGAACGCTGGCTCCCTATCCACACTGTGGAAACCATCATGATTAGTGTCATTTCTATGCTGGCAGACCCTAATGGAGACTCACCTGCTAATGTTGATGCTGCGGTAAGTTGGCCACATGTTCACATCTTTGTGCTCTCTCTCTCACTCTCCCCTTTAATAAAAGTCAATTTGAATTGCAGTAGCTGTGTGTGTGTGTGTGTGTGTGTGTGTGTGTGTCTTTGTGTCTTTCCATATTTCCTTTTTGACAAATAAAAATTGCATATAATTATTGTGTAGAGCATGTTGTTTTGAAATATGCAGACATTGTGGAACAGCTAATTTGAGCTAATTAACATATACATTACCTCACAAACTTTCCAATTTTGTAGTAAGAACAATTAAAACCAACTGTTAGCAATTGAAAAGAATACTATAACTTGTTTTTAAGATGTAAATTGTGACTTTAAAATTTGGGATTGGGGGTAGAGTACAATAGAGTTGTTTTTTTTTTTTTTTTTGACTTGGAGTCTCACTGTTGCCCAGACTGGAGTGCAGTGGCCCCTCCCGGCCACCGCAGCCTCAACCTGCTGGGCTCCAGCGATCCTTTTGCTCAGCCTTCCAAGTAGCTGGAACTACAAGCGCGTGCTACTACGCCCGGCTAATTTTTGATTTATTGTAGAGATGAGGTCTCGCCAAGTTGCCCAGGCGGGTCTCGAACCCGTGGGCTCAGGCAATCCACTCACCTCAGCCTCCCAAAGCACAGGATTACAGGCTGAGCCACTGAGCCCGGCTTATACAAAGTTTTTAAATGCTATGAAAGTTAATTTGTTATCCGCTTAAGTGTCCTGTTAAAATGATAAGATGTTTTTGGTAAGCCTCATGGTAGCCACAAAGTATAATTGTATAGTAGTTATACAAAAGATAAAAAATAAGGAGACAAATCATTAGAGAAATCACTTATTCATGAAGGAATACAGCAAGATTGGAAGAAAGGGACAAAGGATCCACAAAACAGCCAGAAATTAATTAATAAAATGGCAGCAGTAAGTCCATAATTACATTTACATCATTTTCTTTTTCTTCTGAATTTCTACGGAAGTAAGTTACAGATGTAATTAAGCTTTGCCTTTAAATACTTAATCCTATATCTTTTAAAAATAACATTACTGGGCTGGGTGCAGCGGCTTACACCTGTAAATCCAGCACTTCTAGAGGTCTAGGCAAGAGGATTGCCTGAGTCCAGGAGTTCGAGACCAGCCTGAGCAACGTGGTGAGACCTCGTCTCTACAGTGAATCAAAAAATTAGCCAGGCAGGGTGGCATGCACCTGTCTGTAGTCTCAGCTACTTGGAAGGCTGAGATAAAAGGCTCTTCTGGGCCCAAGAGATCTAGGCTGCAGCCACTGTGATTGTGCTACTGCACTCCAGCCTGGATGACAGAGTGAGACTCCAATGGGGGGAAAAAGTCTTACATAACTATAATACTATTGTCATAGCTAAGAAAATGTATTGCCAAGTTCCTATTAATGTTCCTATTATTATCCCTAAGTTTTAAATTCTTAAAACTTTCATTTTTCTAGGAAAATTGTATTAGCTAAGTGTACACTACAATATCCTTCACCTAGGTTCACCACCTATGGAGATTTTGCAATCTTTTCATCTTTTGCTAAGCTGTTAAGAGTAATTCATAGGTATCATAACCCTTTACCCCTAAATACTTAAGCATGTATCCCCTGGTACAAGTCTATCATTGATGTACAATTGTTGATTAATTCAGATAAAGTTCATATTCACTGTATTGTCCAGTATTGTTCTTTATAGCTAGTATCTCCCCAACACATACTTAAAAAAAAAAATACAGAGTCTAGTCTAGGAATCCGCATTGTTTTGTATTCAGGGGTTTTTTTAAAGCGTCTTTTAATCTATAATCGTTTCTAGTTCCTTAGCCTACTCTATTTTTTTAAAAGCTTTGTGTTCTAGTCCTCATTCTTTTTTTTTTCTTTTTTCTTTTGAGTTGAAGTATCACTCTGTTGCCCAGACTGGAGTGCAGTGACCGCTCCTGGCTACTGTAGACTCCACCTGCTGGGCTCCGGCGATCCTTCAGCCTCAGCCTCCTAAGTAGCTGGAACTTCAGGTGCACGCTACCACGCCCGGCTAATTTTTTGATTTATTGTAGAGACAAGGTCTCGTCAAGTTGCCCAGGCGGGTCTCGTACCCGCGGACTCAGGCAATCCACTCACCTCGGTCTCCCAAAGTGCGGGATTACAGGCTTAACCACTGAGCCCGGCCTCTAGTCCTTATTCTTGAGACTTTTTTTTATATCAAAACCAGGAGATAAATTTACCTTTTTGAGGGGGTTAATTAAAAACTTTATGAAGTCTTAATTACAGAATAAGACTATGGATAACCCCTTTTAAAACCTATGACTTTAAATGTTTTAATTTAATAATAGAATTGAACTTAAAACTGGCAGAAAATCCTTTCACTTTCTATTCAATAAAGTGTCAGTCCAAACAATGTAAGAGATAATAAGGAAGAAGGGGGTGATAGCTGGTTTTAAATAAGTCTCTGACTTGGGCAACAAAGTGAGACCCTGTCTCCACAAAAAATAGAAAATTAGCTACACATGGTGGCACATGCCTGTAGTCCCTGCTACTCAGGAGGCTGAGACCAGATAATTGCCTAAGTCCAGGAGGTTGAGCCACAGTACTCCAGCTTAGGTGACAGGGTGAGAAATCCTATCTCTTAAAAAAGGAAAAAAAAAATCCTAGGGAATAATCTTTGAGGAAAACTGATTAACATTTCATTTGAAAGCCGGGCTCCATGGCTCAGCCTGTAATCCCGCATCTTTGGGAGGCTGAGGTGAGTGGATTGCCTGAGCCCACGGGTTCGAGACCCGCCTGGGCAACTTGGCGAGACCTCATCTCTACAATAAATCAAAAAAAAAAATTAGCCAGACGTGGTAGCACACGCCTGTAGTTCCAGTTACTTGGAAGGCTGAGGCGGAAGGATCCCTGGAGCCCAGTAGGTCGAGGCTGCGGTGGCCAGGAGCGGCCACTGCACTTCAGTCTGGGTGACAAAGTGAGACTCCAACTCAAAAAAAAACCCAGAAAAACATTTCATTTGATCCATGCTCAACTATCAACTCTTTTAATAAGATCAGAACTGACAAAATTATTAATCCTTCAAACACCTGAATACTTAAACAGCCAAACCTAGTACAAAAATAATTAATCTCTTGATTCTAAACATTACCCAAAGGGTCGAAACAGGTCTTAATATAAAGTTGAAATATGCATACATGAGTTTTAGTATGAAAACAAGTTGTGCAAAATCTATTCCATTTTTTTCTTGAAATCTATAGATTCATCTTTAATTATATTTTTATACTTCAGTTTTTTTAACCTCTTAATCAGTATATCTATTCAGGAGGTCCCTACCACCTCATCTTTTTTTTTTGTTTGAAACAGGATATCACTCTGTTAGCCAGGTTGGAGTGTGGTGATGTGACCATAGCTCACTGTCTCAGCTTCCCTAGTAGCAGGAACTACAATCACACACCACCATTCCTGGCTAAGAAATCTCGATTTTTTTTGTTTTTGATTTTTTTTGATTTGGTGTCTCACTCTGTCACCCAGACTGGAATGCAGTGGCCGCTCCTGGCCACTGCAACCTTGACCCGCTGGGCTCCGGCGATCCTTCCATCTCAGCCTTCCAAGTAGTTGGAACTAAAGGCGCGTGCTACCATGCCTGGCTAATTTTTTTTTTTTTTTTGAGTTGGAGTCTCACTCTGTCGCCCAGACTGGAGTGCAGTGGCCGCTCCCGGCCACCGCAGCCTCGACCTGCTGGGCTCCGGCAATCCTTCCGCCTCAGCCTTCCGAGTAGCCGGAATTACAGGCGCGCGCTACCATGCCCACTAATTTTTTGATTTTATTGTAGAGATGAGGTCTCGCCTGCCCAGGTGGGTCTCGAACCCGCGGGCTCAGGCAATCCACTCACTTTAGCCTCCCAAAGGCGCGGGATTACAGGCTGAGCCCCCGAGCCTGGCGAAACCTCAATTTTTCTTAGCAGTCTTTCTCCTAGATCCCTCCCTTCAATAACTCCAAATTTGATTAACCTTCAGCCCACTGCTTAGCTCCCTTGCTTCGGATTTCTCCCTCACCTCCCTTCTCGATTGGATCTTTGTTTCCTGGATCCCATTTCTTCTTTCTCTTCTTGGTTGACTTTCTTCCTTTTGCCTTGGCAGCAAATCCAAGAGTACGGTCTTAGAATATGTACAGATTAAATCCTGAGTCATTTCATGATTTAAGGTTCTTTTATGCTTTTCTTATACTTGATTGATACTTTGTTTATTGAATACTAGGGAGAAAAATTTACTGAGAATTTATATTTTAACATTTATTACTCCTGATGAGAAAATTCACGTTAGGTTAATTCTTCTCCATTTTTTTAGGTGGTCTGTTCTTTTTTTCCTTACTTCCCTTTAGCTTCCTTTCTTTATTCTAGGTTTTCCAAAATATCAGAGTTGTGCGGACTCTTAAATTTTCTATCTTTGTAGTCGATGTCCACCCTTGGAATTTAAAATTTAACTTCAACCTTGAGAAGTTTTCTTTAATTATTTTGAGAATTTTTCCATGTTAAATATTCTCTCCCTTCTTAAGAATTTGTTTTAGTTGTTACCCAGGTTAACCCCTTGTATTTTTTTTCATCTAAAATAGTATTGGTTTTGAATTTTCTATTGAATTTTAATTTTGACAGTATTGCTTTTAATTTTAAAAAGCATATTCTTTTTCTCCATTAATTCTATCTTCATGGAATCTTATCAGTTTAATAAATTTAGAAATTCTTGAATATTTTTTATTTTAAAAGTTACCTTATGAAGTCTTTCTCTGTGGTCAGTTTTCTTTTGTATTTCGAACTCTATTTCAGAACTCTGTAGGTGTTCTAGGCCTGGCATGGTGGCTCATACCTATAATCCCCGTACTTAGGGAGGTTGAGGTAGGAGGATTGCTTGGAGCCCAGGAATTCAAAACCAGCCTGGACAACATAGTGAGACTTTGGCTCTACAAAAAAAATTTTTTTAAATTAGCCAGGTTGGGCTTGGTGGCTCAGCCTGTAATCCGCGCCTTGGGAGGCCGAGGTGAGTGGATTGCCTGAGCCCGCGGGTTCGAGACCCGCCTGGGCAACTTGGCAAGACTTCATCTCTACAATCAATCAAAAATTAGCCGGGTGTGGTAGCGCACGCCTGTAATTCCGACTACTCGGAAGTCTGAGGCGGAAGGATCGCCGGAGCCCAACAGGTCGAGGCTGCGGTGGCCGGGAGCGGCCACTACATTCCAGTTTGGGCGACAGAATGATACTCCAACTCAAAAATAAATAAATAAATAAATAAGGATATAAGAGTTGGAAGAGAGCCGGGCTTGGTGGCTCATCCTGTAGTCCCGCACTTTGGGAGGCTGAGGTGAGTGGATTGCCTGAGCCCGCAGGTTCGAGACCCGCTTGGGTAACTTGGTGAGACCTTATCTCTACAATAAATCAAAAAATTAGCTGGGTGTGGTAGTGCATGCCTGTAGTTCCAGCTACTTGGGAGGCTGAGGCGGAAGGATCACTGGAGCCCAGGAGGTCGAGGCTGCGGTGGCCAGGAGCGTGCCACTGCACTCCAGTCTGGGCGACAGAGTGAGACTCCAACTCAAAAAAAGAAAGAGTTGGAAGAGGATGTCATGTAAATGGTAACATGAAGGTGCAATTACTTTCAGCACCAATAACCACACTGGCAGCTGTAGTTCCATTATTCTTCAGTATATTTATGTTAAATCTAGATGTTATTTTTATTTTAGGAAATCATTAAAATTTTGGATATCGGTGAGGGAAATGTTCAGTATATGAACTTTGAATTAATCTCTATTTTTAGCCCTACTTCTCACTCAAGCTCTTGTCATACTTGCCATTTTCAAATGTTAGCTTCTTGCTTAGATAACAGGTCCTTTTTCTCCTTTGTTTTCATTTCATCCAGTTTTCTCTATGCTGCTAATTGCTCTTCTCTCTTCCATGTTTTAATACTCTTCCATCTGCCTTTGGTCTTTTAGAAAACCTTATTATTGGTTGACTTCTTTGCCATCGTCTTAGCTGTTAAAGATTTATACCTAGCCGGGCTCAGTGGCTCAGCCTGTAATCCCACGCCTTTGGAGGCTGAGGTGAGTGGATTGCCTGAGCCCACGGGTTCCAGACCCACCTGGGCAACTTTGTGAGTCCTCATCTCTACAATAAATCAAAAAATTAGACGGGCATGGTAAGCGCGTTCCTGTAATTCCAGCTACTTGGAAGGCTGAGGCGGAAGGATTGCCCGAGCCCAGCAGGTCGAGGCTGCGGTGGCCGGGAGCGGCCACTGCACTCCAGTCTGGGCGACAGAGTGAGACTCCAACTAAAAAAAAAAAAGATTTATACCTTAAAAGAAAAATCTTTTGCAACTTGTCAGGAGTAAAAGAAAAATATTATTTTAATACGGTCTCAGTAGAACAAAGATATAAGCATACTTTTGCTATTATGAATTTGTAGTGTTCCCTATGTATAATAATAGAGATGATATCATCATCACAGTTCGTAACAGAGTGGACTTCAAAAAAAAAAGCAGCTATGTTAGCTCTTCCCTGCTTTGGAACTGTCAGGAAAGGAAAAAAAAAATTTACCCTGCACCTAGAAGCCATCCTTGACTAGTCTTATCTCAGTCACCAGAGAATGTCAACCATATTACTTAAGCCTTTTTAAACTCCTTTCTACTCCTGTGCCATTGACTTAAGTCCTTCTTACTTCTTACCTTCATTAGTGTAATAGCTTCCCTTTTTTCCTTTTCTTTTTTGAGTTGGCATCTCACTCTGTCGCCTAGGCTAGAGTGCAGTGGCATGCCTCTCATGGCTACCCTCCGCCTTAGCCTTCCATGTAGCTGGAACCTGCAGGTGCACACTACCACGCCTGGCTAGTTTTCTGATTTATTGTAGAAACAAGGTCTCACCATGTTGCTCAGGCTTGTCTCAAACCCCTGAGCTCAGGCAGTCTTGCCTTGGCTTCCCAAAGTGCTGGGATCACAGGCTTGAGCCACCATGCCCGGCTTTTTTTTTTTTTTTGAGTTGGAGTCTCACCATTCTTGTCACCCAGGTTGGAGTGCAGTGGCATGCACTCCACTGCAGCCTAGATCTGCTGGGCTCAGGTGATCCTTCTGCCTCAGCCTTCCAAGTTGCTGGAACTATAAGATTTCACTGTCACCTAGGCTGGAGAGCAGTACCACAATCATAGGTCCCTGCAGCCTGTAACTCCTGGGCTCAAGAAATTTTGTGGCATCAACCTTCCAACTAGCTGGGACTAAGGTGTACACCACCATGTTGAGCTAATTTATTTCAGATTTTTAGAGATGGAGTCTCAGTATGTTGCTCAGGCTGCTTATTTTATTTTTTTAGATATGGGATCTTGCTGTTTCGCCTAGGCTGGTCTTGAACTCCTGTCCTCAAGTAATCCTTCACAATTTTTCCCATCTCATCTCCCTGCTGTCATTGTCCCTTATCTTTACTATAGTGCTGTTTTTAGGTGCTCTGTTTTGTTTGAGATTCTCCTTCCCCTTTTTAACTGGAATTGCCCTTTTTCCTTACTAATGAAAATGAGGTAATTCTAATATTTTACCTATTAATACTCCAGCAAACATTTGAAAGATCAGGACATTCTTGTACATTACCACATTGCCATTATTATGCCTAAGCAAATTTACCATAATTTCATGTTATAACCACAATTTCATGTTATAACCACATTCCCAATTTATATTCATTTGTCCCCCTAAATGCTCAAAACTATCTTTCCCAGGGTCTGTGATGATTTACTTTCATGCTCCTCTGGCATAGATTAGTTTTCTTCTTCCATTGTTCTATACTAGTTCTATAATAATCTCTGTACATGCTAGCATTGCAATTTATCTAATGATTAGTGTGTCTTTTAGAGGGTTGTTTTTTTGTTTTTTTTTTAAGTGGGAGTCTTACTCTTGAGGCAGGAGTGAAAAAGGAAGAATGGGTGAAGGCTGGGCGCGGTGGCTCATGCCTATAATCCCAGCACTTTGGGAGACCGAGGTGAGAGGGTTGCCTGAACCCATGGGTTCAAGACTAGACTGGGCAACTTGGCAAGACCTTATCTCTGCAATGGATCAATAAAAATTAGCCGGGCGTGATGGTGTGCGCTTGTAGTTCCAGCTACTTAGAAAGCTAAGGCAGAAGAATTGCCTGAGCCCAGCAGGTCAAGGCTGCGGTGGCCATGAGAGTGCCACTGCACTCCATCCTGGACAACAGAGTAGACTGAGACTCCAAAGAAAAAAAACAGGCATTTTGTGAGAATTTTTTGCTGTTTACATGCTAGGTGAAATCAACTGTATTCCATTTTCTTCTTCCCTCCCTCCCTCCCTTCTTTTTTTTCTTTCTTTTTTTGTCAGAGTCTCAGTCTGTCAACCAGGCTGGAGTGCAGTGGCATGCTCATAGCCACCTCAGCCTTTCAGGTAGCTGGAACCACGGGTGTACACCACTAGACCCAGCTAATTTTTCTTGATTTATTGTAGAGACAAAGTCTCGCAAAGTTGCCCAGTCAGGTCTTGAATCCCTGGACTCAGGCCTGCCAGTGTCAGGGATTACAGGCATGAGCCACCATGCCCAGCTCAGTGTTCCATTTTCATGTGCCTGGCAGTGACCGTGTTAATTGTACTAGAAATAGTACTTAATATCATCTCAATATGCTGCATCACACCTATCTCCTTTATATTGCAGACATGTTTGTGTTTCTTTTCTGGTTGTTTCCAATAGGGAGAGTTGACAATCCTTCAGATAGTCTGAATGTCTTATTTGTAAATTGTTGCTTTCTTTTTCAGTGTAAAGCAAAACTGTGCATGTTGTGTGACCTTTTTCTTAGAGAATTTTTCTTGTAGAAGTAATTTGCATAGGAGATTTCTGCTGTGTATCCCAGCAGAATGCTTTAGAAAAATGATTTCTGAATGCTTTTATAAATACCAACTTATATTTTCGAATTGTTCAGATTACCAAGGGATTGCATTTAAAATTAAAATAAGAGTTTGCATCAAATCATTTGCTATTACTTTTTTATCTACAGAAAGAATGGAGGGAAGACAGAAATGGAGAATTTAAAAGAAAAGTTGCCCGCTGTGTAAGAAAAAGCCAAGAGACTGCTTTTGAGTGACATTTATTTTGTAGGTAGTAACTTCACTTATTTCAGGGTAAGTTCATTTTAGAAATCATGCCTTTGATTTTTTTTTTGTCTTACAATTTTTTGAAAATTGTGTAATTTTGCATATTTGAGTTGCTTGTTTTTATTGATTTCATTTTTTTAGTGGTATTATCCAATTGTCTGCTGGTTCTCAAGACTGTGGTTTAACCTGCTTTTCTTCTTTAGTGTATTCTGCTGTTTTTAACTAGATATTCTGTATTCATATGGTTAGTATGGTGTCTGGTTTTTTTTCACTAATGGTACAATTTATTTTTTTTGTTTGTTTTTTTGAGTTGGAGTGTCACTCTGTCGCCCAGGCTAGCGTACAGTAGCATGCTCATGGCCATCCCAGCATCGGCCCACTGGTCTCAGATGATATTTCCACCTCAGCCTTCCAAGTAGCTGGAACTATAGGCACACACTACCACACCCGGTTAATTATTTATTTACTGTAGAGATGAGGTCTTGCCAAGTTGCCCAGGCTGGTCTCAAACCTGCGGTCCCAGACAATCCACTTGCCTTAGCCTCCCAAAGTGCTGGGATTACAGGCTGAGCTACCGGGCCCAGGCTAATGGTATAGTTTTTTTGTTTGTTTGTTTGTTTTGAGTTGGAGTTTCACTCTGTCGCCCAGACTGGAGTGCAGTGGCCGCTCCTGGCCACTGCAACCTCGACCTGCTGGGGGTTCCGGTGATCCTTCCGCCTCAGCCTTCTGAGTAGCTGGAACTACAGGCACATGCTACCACACCCGGTTAATTATTTATTTATTGTAGAGATGAGGTCTTGCCAAGTTGCCCAGGCTAGTCTCAAACCTGTGGGCCCAGACAATCTACTCGCCTTAGCCTCCCAATGTGCTGGGATTATAGGCTGAGCCACCGGGCCCAGGCTAATGGTATAGTTTTTTTGTTGTTGTTTTTTGTTTTTTGAGTTGGAGTCTCACTTTGTCGCCCAGACTGGAGTTCAGTGGCCGCTCCCGGCCACCGCAGCCTCGACCTGCAGGGTTCCGGTGATCCTTCCACCTCAGCCTTCTGAGTAGCTGGAACTACAGGCGCGCCCTACCACACCTGGCTAATTTTTTTGATTTATTGTAGAGATTAGGGCTTGCCAAGTTGCCCAGGCAGGTCTCAAACCCGCAGGCTCAGGCAGTCCACTCATCTTAGCCTCCCAAGGCGCAGGATTACAGGCTGAGCCACCGAGCCCGGCTAGTTTTTTTTAATGATAAAGTACTTATTTCAATTTAGTTTCTTTTGTTTTGCCTTTTGATCTACCATCATGACTTAATACTAGGTATTGACATTTCTTTTTTTTTTTTGAGTTGGAGTCTTACTCTGTTACCCAGGCTGGAGTGCAGTAGCACGCTCATGGCCACTGCAGTCTCAACCTGCTAGGCTCAGGTGATCATTCCACCTCAGCCTTTCAAGTAACTGGAAATATAAGTACACACTACTATGCCTGGCTAACTTTTTGATTTAATGTAAAGATGAGGTTAGGCCAACTTTCCCAGTCTGGTCTCGAACCCGTGGGCGAGGCGATCCTCCTGCCGCAGCCCCCCAAGTAGCTGGGACTATAGTCGTGTGCCAGTATGCCTGGCTAATTTTTGTAGAGATGAGGTTCTGCTATGTTGCCTACGCTGTCCTCAAACTCCTGCACTCAAGCAATTCTTTCACCTTGGCCTCCCAATGTGCTATGATTACAGTCGTGAACTACCATGCCTGGCCCAGTTGTTGACTATGCCATTTATTAAGTCCTTCCTTTCACCACTGATACACAATGTCAGTTATGTTACAAAATCCCATTTTAGACCAGGCTCGGTGGCTCAGCCTGTAATCCCAGCACTTTGGGAGACCAAGGCGAGTGGATTGCCTGAGCCCCGTGGTTTCGAGACCAGCCCGGGCAACTTGGCGAGACCTTGTCTCTACAATAAATCAAAAAATTAGCCGGGCCTGGTAGCATGCGCCTGTAGTTCCAGCTACTTGGAAGACTGAAGTGGAAGGATCACTGGAGCCCAGCAGGTCGAGGCTGCAGTGTCCGGGAGCATGCCACTGCACTCCGGTCTGGGCGACAGAATGAGACTCCAACTCAAAAAAAAAAAAAAAATCATAAAATCACATTTCTAGATATGTGTTGTTCTGTTTGGGGCCTTTCTGTTTTTCATTGATTGACTTGTCGGTCCCTGAATCAGTGTCTGTTTGTTTGTTTTTTTTGAGTTGGAGTCTCATTCTGTCACCCAGACTAGAGTGCAGTGGCTGCTCCCAGCCACCGCAGCCTCGACCTGCTGGGCTCTGGCGATCCATCCACCTCAGCCTTCCAAGTAGCTGGAGCTACAGGCATGCACTACCACGCCTGGCTAATTTTTTGGTTTATTGTAGAGATGAGGTTTTGCCAAGTTGCCCAGGCGGGTCTCGAACCCGTGGGCTCAGGCAATCCACTCACCTCAGCCTCCCAAAGGCGCGGGATTACAGGCTGAGCCACCGAGCCCGGCTGAATCAGTGTCATACTGTCTGAATTTTTATTTTATTTATTTTTATGATTAAATGTATTATATGTAAAGGTACAACTCAAGTGTAAGACTAAAGTCTTTATCCACCACCCATCCTGTTTTCATATTTGATATCTTTACTTTCTGAAAAGATTTAGATCTACTTTCACATCTACCTGTTATTATTATCTGAAATGATGAAAATGTATTTCTTCCCCTTTACTACCAGGTATACCAGTAACCTAGCAGTCTTCAAATTACTTCAGTTTTTACCATCTTGATTATATCTGTCTGGGAAATAAAAGCCTCAATAAGTACCTAACCTAATTACCAGTTTAGTTTGGGTTGAACTAAGAATGAAGTCAGTTGAAATTTGGATTAAAAAGGTATTCCACCAAAATCTGTGATTTAACTTATGTTAATCTTTAGGTTAAAGATTAATCTGAGCTGGGCTCAGTGGCTCAGCCTGTAATCCCAGCACTTTGGGAGGCTGAGGTGAGTGGATTGCCTGAGCCCGCGGGTTTGGGACCCGCCTGGGCAATTTGACGAGACCTCATCTCTACAATAAAATCAAAAATTAGCTGGGTGTGGTAGCGCGTGCCTGTAGTTCCAGCTACTTGGAAGGCTGAGGCGGAAGGATTGCCGTAGCCCAGCAGGTCAAGGCTGCAGTGGCTGCGAGCGGCCACTGTGCTCCATTCTGCGTGACAGAGTGAGACTCCAACTCAAAAAATTAAAAAATTTTAAAAATCTGTAGGTTAAAAAACAGGAATAATTTAAAGAATATGAGGCAAACAGTAGATATGGTTGATATTATTTCAATTAACATTCAGACATATTTTAAGTTACATGTAGGGTATGCTTACAAAATATAAGTGACTTTCAATTCAGCACTATTTAAGACAGTTATATAGGTAATTTGGTTTTCACATTTATCATTCTGGAGAAAAGAATGACAAACTTGCTTTTTCTGTTCTGAGGCTTTTTCTCTGTTTGGAATAAATTTTATTCAAAGAGAGAAGGAGGAATGCATTTTCCTTTCTCTACTCAAGAAACTAATGATATTTAAAGCTTGGTTCTCACTATTAAAAGGTGAGGTCTCCTGATTTTACGTGTTTAATGACTTAGAGCAGTCAGTTCTCAGATGATTTTTTTCCCCCCTTAAAGCCTCATATGGCTGTGCTTTGGGGAGACTGAGGTGAGTGGATTGCCTGAGTCCGCGGGTTCGAGACCCGCCTGGGCAACTTGGTGAGACCTCATCTCTACAATAAATCAAAAAATAAGCCGTGCGTGGTAGCACGTGCCTGTAGTTCCAGCTACTTGGAAGGCTGAGGCGGAAGGATCGCCAGATCCCAGCAGGTCGAGGCTGCAGTGGCTGGGAACGGCCACTGCATTCCAGTCCAGGCCACAGAGTGAGATTCCAACTCCAAAAAAAAGAAAGCCCATATGGAAATAGTTTATAAATGATTCTTTTGTGGCTCTTAAATTTCTCATCATTTATATCATAGGGGAATAGTTACTGAATGCCCAAACTTTATACCCGTTCTTCTACCCTGAGAGATGTATTGGTCAGGGATTAATTTGGGTGAGCAATAGTCTTTTAAAAAACATTTAAGTAACATTACCTAAAAGTTAAATAACTGTTCTATATCATTGTCTTGAGTTTTAGTATATATCTTTAGATTTTCTAGTAAAAATATGTATGTGCATTTGTGTATCTGTGTGCAAATGTTAGAACCTGACTCTGGTTAAGGTGATATATTTACATATGGTGCATTTCATGGTTTTATAAGGGCCACTTACATTGATTGGTATAACCCCTTTTGAAAGACATTAGCAGTAGTCCATCATTAGTTTTTGGTATTGTTGAAATTGGGTGATTACAAGATTGATAAATCACTCTAGACTTTAAAAGACTATGAATGTGTATGGTGTGAGTTAAAATTTGCTGTAACTCTTATGTCAGGAGTTTAAAATTACATATATTGATTTCCCAGTCATCTTTTCTGTGAGTTTTTTTGCCCGTTATTGTACTTGGCATTAGATATGATATTCTGAGTTCCTTGGAACACTTGCCCTAAAGATGTAATAGTATTGGGTATTTTCTTTCTTGCTGCCCTAAGCCCTCTCCCCTTCTCCTTGTATTCAAAGTACCGTATTAATATAATAAGACTGAAAAGTTCAATTGTTAGATGAGACTTTTAAAACTTGAACCCAGCCGGGCTCGGTGGCTCAGCCTGTAATCCCAGCACTTTGGGAGGCTGAGGTGAGTGGATTGTCTGAACCTGTGGGTTCGAGATCCACCTGGGCAACTTGGTTAGACCTCATCTCTACAATAAACTCAAAAAATCAGCCGGGTGTGGTAGCGCGTGCCTGTAATTCCGGCTACTCGAAAGGCTGAGGCGGAATGATCGCTGGAGCCCAGCAAGTCGAGGCTGCGGTGGCCGGAAGCGGCCACTGCACTCCAGTCTGGGTGACAGAGTGAGACTCTAACTCAAAACAAAAACAAAAAAACTTGAACCCAAGCCCGGCGCGGTGGCTCTCGCTATAATCCCAGCACTTTGGGAGGCTGAGGGGAGAGGATTGCCTGAGACCAGGGATTCGAGACTAGCTTGGGCAACTTGGTGAGACCTTATCTGTACAATAAATCAAAAAATTAGCTGGGTGTGGCGGCACACACCTGTAGTTTCAGCTACTTGGAAGACTGAGGTGGAAGGATCACCTGAGCCCAGAAGTTTGAGGCTACAGTAGCCATGAGTGTACCACTGCACTTCAACCTGGGCGACAGACTGAGACTCTGACTCAAAAAAAAACTTGAACCCAGTGTATTCCTAACTTTCTGAGCAGGAAACTCTGACAGTTATTAATTAGCTATGTGACTATATCTCACTTTTATAGGGGAAAGCCTTTTAATATAATGATTGTGAGCATTTCGTGAGATGAGTTTGTAAAGCACTTAGCACACTGCTTGGCATATAATAAGCACTTGATATGATGGTGGTGATTTTTATTTAACTGTGTTCTTGACTTCCAGTCTAACTGAGGATATGAGACTGGCAGATATAAAACGGGAACTAATTGGGATAGAGGGTCATTTGTGGGAGGCATCATGGAGACAGTTGTTTGAACTGAACTTGTGGACTGCATAGAATTTAGCAAGTTGAGAAGTTTGGTAATCTTATGTTTTTTCTCTGAATATCCTCTCATAGTTGTAAATTTCCAGGTCACTTGACTTTTAATCAATTTGTCTATTTTTGATATTATATGGAATATAAATACATATATTGTGTTGTTGAAAGACGTTTGGAGTATTGAAAAATCTAAATCAATGCTGTCCAGTAAAACTTCCTGCAATGATGGAGATATTCTACCTATGCTAATCAGTATGACAACCAATAGCAACATGTAACTTTTGAGCACTTGAAATCTGGCTAGTATGACTGAGGAACTAAATTGTAAATTTTATTCAATGTGATTTAATTTAGATTTACGATTGAGTAGTACATATAGCTAGTGGCTACCATAATAGACATGCACCAAAAGTGTGCTTAAGTGAATTGAGGAGTGGTTGCCAAAGAAATAGAATATAAATCCCCTATACAATATGTCCATGTAACAAACACACGTGTGCCCGTTGTATTTAACATTAAAAATGGAAAATAAATAAATAAAACTACCCAATTTCAAGACTTAAAAAAAAAATAGAATATAAATAAAGAAACGTTTCTAATCAATTCTTTTGTAACGTTCCATTATATAATACTGTTCCATTAACGTTCCATTATATAATCTTTTTTTGTTTTGTTTTGTTTTGTTGTAGGTCTCCAATTGAGAAACATGGCACTGTTTTTCCTGCACTCTACCCACCTATTGCTGGACTTCTGTTGTAACAAGTTGGCAAACACTGGCTGGAACTGGGCTGCAATAAAACATGCCAGTTATCAATGCTGACAAGAGCCTAACAAGTGCCAACTTACAGATGATTGCGCATTTTGAATTCTAATGAACTGTTTTAACCTTCAGGAAGAATTGTAAAGACCTGTACATAGCACAACATGATCCGGATAATATATATACTGTTCATGTACATCCACAAATACACCTTGTACCAAATAATGCTTTCTTGTAGTAGAATAAGAATCGTGTAAATTCTAAAAGATATTAGCAGGTTTTCTTTCATATTCATTGTTTCTTATCAGTTTAAAAAAACTCCTTAAAGCATGACAGATGAAAAGCAATTAGGATTAAAAGTTTCCATTTAATTTTCTTTAAACCATTGAGGCTTCATTAAACTCTCTTCATTTACTAAACCTTTGTATCTTCTTTGTTTTGACACACTCCCCTTTACTTTCATCTCTTCTCTCTGCCAGAAAGTTATCAAATCATTTAGTTGAAATACTGAAATACTTAATAAGCAATTACTTGATTTTGATGATGACTTCAGAGGAGTAGTCATCATAGGTGCTTTGTCCTTTTTGTATTCTAGTTGCACCCATATCCTGGATTGGTTGTAGCAATAACATTTATTGGCTGTTGAGAGCTCTTGAACCCAGTCATTACCCCCAAGAACTAAAAAGAGTTTATTTTTAACTCAGCTTACTGAAATTTTCCCGCAAAATATTAAATTCTGATTTGGTGTTATTTTTTTCACTTCATTCACCTAATATTAAGGTTGAATAAGTAAAGCATGCATAGCTACAGGCTTTCTACTTAACCTCTGGGTTTGCTATTAAAAATGCTGTTTACCCTCGTACCCTTCTCCTTAGTCCTTTATATTTCTTTGCCTCTTCTCTACTGCAGATTTTTCTCACCTATTGTACAAAAAAATTGCGGTGTATATTTTCATGTAATTTGATTTTGGAATTCTGTCACCATATGTAGTGAGTTCTTCCAAAATATAATTTTTTTCCAATAATTGTCAAGTTGTTGGCTTTTATTGTATTGAATGAAGGTTGTAATACTGAATGCCAGAGAAGTGCAGTTTAGAAAAATCTCAGGTTGATTCCTTATGCAAACAAACGTAATACTTGAAAATCACATGGCCATGGCAGTATGTGTATTGGGTTCTATCTTGATTCTTATGTGTGACTCTAAAAGCATTACCAGGGTAAATGCTTTGCTATTTGACATATAGATTCTGTCACTGACATAGTGCATTTGAATTTGATTAATGTTTGAGCATAAATATATTTCATATGGTTTTCTAAAACAACTTCAGCAAATGGTAAAATGAGCATGTGCCAGTGTTAAAGGTGGGCATGGGCTCCTCTATGTTCGTTGTGAGGCTGGGAGTGAGTAGTAGTCTTTGGCATATAAGGATAGAACTTGAGATAGTACCAGATGGGGCATGGTGTTTGATTGAGAGAATCAGCAAGAATTGGTGCATTTCTGCTCCCTGGGGTTCAGAGAAATGATTCGGCAGAAGCCAAATAGCCAATAGCCCAGACCTCTACACACTTTATTTTTTTAAAACAGAACTAAAATGGTTGAGGATGTAGTCACAGTAAAGAGTGATTTTTCTAAATCCTAGTCTGTTCTCCACTCTGAAGCATTGTAAAAACCCGTAAACATTATTAAACACACATAAATGTATAGTGACTGTAAATATTATTTGATTTAATTCATTAGAGCCCAGTTTTTTTCAAGATTATTGTGACTTGGTTTTTTTCTTTCAAAGACTGTAAAAATTGTTACCTAGAATGCCAGCACTGCACACCTTCAAGGGACTTGGAATACGGTCTCTTTTACTCTTTTGTTTTTCAGAGACAGGGTCTTGCTCTGTCACCCAGGCTGGAGTACAGTGGCGCAGTCATCACTCACTACAGCCTTGACCTCCTGGGCTCAAGTGATCCTCCCACCTCAGTCTCCCGAGCAGCTAGGACTACAGACACACGCCACCATACCTGTGCAAATTTTTTTTTTTTGGTAGTAGAAATGGGGTCTTGCCCCTTTTACTCTTAAATTAGAAATTATTCACATGGTGGTTGTTTTTGGCAAAATGGTGTTAGAAATTTGCTCTCTTATTGCTTTAATTCTGTCAGCAATCCGTTGAGTTAAAACCTGGGATTTGACTCTTCAGCAAGTAGCAAGTGACCTAGTAACTCAGGGAAAACTATTTTTGAACTTTTAAGTGCCACTTTAATGCAGTTACTTTGGTATAACCTTGTGGTGTTTTAGAGCTAGCTCTAGGGGAGTGGAAGGGAGAGCCAGGAATGAGTGCATCTTTCTTAACGCTCTGTTCCACCTGGTGCCCTGACTGTACTACATACTGAAACACAGGCCTAGATAGATGTTAATGAATTCTTTTCCTCTGTCAGAGATGTCATCTGTGCCTTTCCCAGTGTTCATCTGATAATGTAAATTTAAATGCCTCTACATTTGATATTAAACCCCCATGCTCAGGTGACACTGAACCAGGTGGCTTTTGTCCCACCAGTGCCTCATCATTAGTGTGAGGTGTTTTCTTCTCTGCTTTAGGAAAAGGACTCCCCCTTCCCCCCCAATCTTGTGCCAGCCATCAGCAACTTATACATAGTCTTATGGGTTATAGAACTGTTGGCCGTTTCCTAAATTTATTCCAGATTCATGTAGAGGCATATAGATTTCAGTCTGTGCTCAAAATGGGATGGATGATCTCAGTGGCTTCCTGGACTCTTCTTTTGAGCTTAAAATCCATTTGAGGTTGATTTCCTTGTCATTATAAGGTAATATGTTTGTGAGGTTATTCCACTAGTTCTGTGATCACTTGGGTGTCAGTATTTTTAATGGTCTTCATTCTCGGTTGTAAAATTATATTTTATATGCTCACTCACCCTCTATAAATCTGCCCACTTTGGGTTGTGGTGCCTGTGTTATCTTTGCCCGTCTGGTCTCCAGTTGGTGGAATTACCTTTTTGTACTGCCACTTCTCAGCATCTTTGAAATCTGACATAATGTTGCTTCATTCCAGTTTTTTTAGTTCTGTAATTTGTTGATTGTATTTAACTATGTGAGTTCTGTTGTGATGTTTACTGTATTGTAAAGCACCTCAATCATGTGATGGGTGCTGTATAAATCAATAAATGATGACTTAGAGGCTGTATCATGAGCTATTTTGGTTTTAGGATGCAGGTCTCAAAAGCAAATTGTGGGATTATTTCTATATAAACAGCACATGATACCAAAGGGTCCACAGGGGAATGTTGATAAAGAATTGTATGAACTTTAAAGAAAGAACCAAAAGGTAGGAAGTTAGACTTCCAACCTAATATAATGCTCTTTAAATTTCCATTATGTGGCCAAGTACCATTTTATTTTATTTTATTTTTGAGTTGGAGTCTCACCCCATCGCCCAGGCTGGAGTGCGGTGGCACTCTCACGGCCACCCCAGTGTCGAACTGCTGGGCTCAGGCGATCCTTCTGTCTCAGCCTTCAAAGTAGCTGGAACTGCAGGCACATGCTATCACACCCAGCTAATTTTTTGATTTATTGTAGAGATGTGGTCTCGCCAAGTTCCCAGGCTGTTCTCAAACCCATAGGCTCAGGTAGTCCCCTCACCTTTGCCTCCCAAAGTGCTGGGATTACAGGCTTGAGCCACCGTGCCTGGCCCAAGTACCATTTTAAATCAGTGTTTCTGTACATGGTGATTTAGAATCTTAAAATGAGCACGTTAGTACATTATGGGGATTTTGTCTTAGGCCCAAACTGGCTGTACCATAAATATAAGCTAAAAGGTGAAGAACCTGAACTCATGTAAACTGGAAGAGACCACAGGCACCATTTCAATATCTTCCCTCCTCTAAACAGATGGGAAACTGTCCCAAATACCCGTCCAGGTTCACTTAGTGGCAAAAGAGACCAGACTGAGTACCTTTTTTTTCTTTACGAGATGTCAACATTCAGCTTTTTATCCTGAGTCCTTACTAATAGTTCATATGGATTTAGTGTTAGGTATTGAAAATTTGTCTTGATGTAAGTTGTCAGTGACTATTGAGACTTTTTTCTTACAAACTCAGAAAACAGAATGGGGCCACACCTCCTAATCAACTGAATTAGAATCAAGAAACTCCCTACAACAATTTTGGGAAGGTTGGGGATCATTTACAGTTTAATTTCCCTGATAAGTATATTTGAAATAAAACTATTAGTGAAAGGATTTGGATGATGTCCCTGAACTTACAATATCAGTTTTACACATAATCATCTACTCCAAAAGGTATTTTTTATTTTATTTTTAATTTTATAGGGGTACAATCCAAAAGGTTTTATTTGCATGCTGCTTTAGATGCAAATGAATAGGTTTTGACTATGTTTACCGCGCTCAAGGCACTAGGCTTTCAGGAGGGAGCAGTTGGTTTTCTTTCTCCCCATCATAAAGATAGAGCTAACAGTCTCCTTATCAAATACAAACTTGTTGCTTTTGGGAAGCCCACAAATCCCAATTCAGATTATGGAGCAGATTATTTCCTGGCTGTGGTATTTCTGTTGTTCATTTTCAGATATGTGATCTGACTGCCAAGGTAGCATTAGGCTTGTTGAGTTGGCACTCTACACTGAGCTTTAGTGAAATGATTAAAGAATTTTGAATCCTGTTCACTTAGGTAAATAAACTGAAGGAAAAGGAAAAGGCGTTCACAAAAGGCAGCCAGGCACACCTTCGAAGACATAGGAGCCACACAGAATGTCCTAGGCAAGAGACTTGATTTTTGGTTTCCCTTTCCCAGAAGAATCCATTAGGAATAAATACAATAGCACTTACATGTACATTTGCAGTGACATTTATTTCTAACAGGAGTACTGGAAATCAAACTTCTATTTATTGAGCCTCTACTTTGTGGCAAGCTTGTGCTATGTGTGTTGTATAAAGGATCAAGATAAGTTCTTAAAAGGTTCCTCCAAAATAGTTTTTCAGGAGGAAACAATTTGCCAAGTTGTAGAGCAAGTAATTGCATGGCTGGGATTCAGTTCCTTGAGCTTTTTTTACGTTCTGGGTACTGTTAACCCTTATTTGCAGATGAGGAAACCAGACGTCAGGAATACTGAGTTTTCCAAGGTCACATAGCTAGTGGATGTGTTGAGGCTGGTACCTGACCCAATCATTGGCCTGTTTGTCTAGAGATTTCCTCTTTTACTCCCTACCATGATGCCAGCCTCCCCGTAGTCTGTTCCCCTGTGCTCTTGAACTCAAGGCAGACTGCATTTATTTCCTTCATATTCCTTGCCTGAGATGATTTCACACTAAGTTCTTACTCAGTATGACAGCAAAACCTAAACTGGGTTTAAAATGAGTCATGTTTTAGTGCTGAGGTTTTTCAAAATGTCTGTATTTCAAGTTATATCTAATGTAGCTCCATCCAAGCCTGTTGGGTGTTGTAGTTCATGTAGTACTTACTACAAGTGCTTTATTTTACAGGCTTTATTAAGTTCTCTGCAGCTCAGGGGTATCAGGTCCATAAGAATCCCCTCAGAAGGCAAGGGCCCAGGGATAGGATTTATGTTGTCATTTCTTTTTTTTTTTTTGAGCTGGAGTCTCACTCCATTGCCCAGACTGGAGTGCAGTGGCCACTCCCGGCCACC